CCCACTGTTCACACACCCCACCGTTCACACACCACTGTTCACACACCCGGCGTTCCACACCCCACCGTTCACACACCCACTGTCCACACACACCCACTGTTCACACACCCCACCGTTCACACACCCACTGTCCACACACCCGGCGTTCACACACCCACCGTTCACACACACCCACTGTCCACACACCCACTGTCCACACACCCCACTGTTCACACACCCACTGTCCACACACCCGGCGTTCACACACCCCACCGTTCACACACCCCACTGTCCACACACCCACTGTTCACACACCCCACCGTTCACACACCCTGTCCACACCCGGGGTTCACACACCCACGTTCACACACCCACTGTCCACACACCCGGCGTTCACACACCCCACCGTTCACACACCCACTGTTCACACACCCCACCGTTCACACACCCACTGTTCACACACCATGTTCACCACACCCCACCGTTCACACACCCACTGTTCACACACTCCGGCGTTCACACACCCCACCGTTCACACACCCACTGTCCACACACCCACTGTTCACACACCCCACCGTTCACACACCCCACCGTTCACACACCCACTGTTCACACACCCGGCGTTCACACACCCCACCGTTCACACACCCACTGTCCACACACCCACTGTTCACACACCCCACCGTTCACACACCCTGTTCACACACCCGGCGTTCACACACCCCACCGTTCACACATCCACTATCCACACACCCACTGTTCACACACCCCATCGTTCACACACCCACTGTCCACACATCCACCGTTCACACACCCACCTTCACACACCCCACTGTTTACACACCCCACCATCCACACACCCCACCAGCCACACACCCTTATCGTCCACACACACCCATTGTTCACACCCCCCACCATTCACACACCCCACTGTTCACACACACCCCACCGTTCACACCCTCACCATTCACACACCCCACCGTTCACACACCCCCACCGTTCACATACCCAACGTCTTAGTCCAGCACGGCCGTAATGTTTGAGATTACATAAACAGAACCTCTAACTTATTCTTGCGCAATTACTTCCGACATACCTGACGAGAAGGCCATTCCAAGTGCCTGGAGGTATGTAACTATGCCCAAGATGGTTGATTCTATGGGGGAGGGGTGGTGGAGGGGAGGGGTAGGAGGAGGAGGGGAAGGGGAGAGGAGGGGAGTAGGGCAGTCGCTGATAGTCTCAGTCTAAATTATACGCCATGCCTTCATAGTTGTCTTTTGTGTTGCGTGGGGGAGTGAGGGTAAGAGGGGAGGAGGAGGGAGGGGAGAGGAGGAGGAGGGGAGAGGAGGGGAGATTAGTTAGGGAAAAAATGAAAAGTAGACAAATTCTGAGGTTATTGATAATTTTTGGTTTAGTAACTGTGTGTGACTGAGTGTGTATGTGTCTACCCAGCAGTAATTGGGAACCTGGATGTTAATCGTGTTCCGGGGTAATGGTTAGCCAGTGCAGTTGGCGAGTTGTCCGGTCTTCTCGGACTATTCCTTGACACTGGGTCATGCAGCTCGTTAACTCAGGGTGTGGTTGTTGTGTTGGCAACAGCCACACTTAAACACTGGGTCATGCAGCTCGTTAACTCAGGGTGTGGTTGTTGTGTTGGCAACAGCTTCTACACCTTAAACACTGGGTCATGCAGCTCGTTAACTCAGGGTGTGGTTGTTGTGTTGAGAGAAGCTTCTACACCTTAAACACTGGGTCATACAGCCTCTTAACTCAGGGTGTGGTTGTTGTGTTGGCGACAGCTTCCACCTTAAACACTGGGTCATACAGCTCTTTAACTCAGGGTGGTTGTTGTGTTGGCGACAGCTTCTACACCTTAAACACTGGGCCTCATGCAGCTCTTTAACTCAGGGTGTGGTTGTTGTGTTAGCGACAGCTTCTACACCTTAAACACTGGGTCATGCAGCTTGTTAACTCAGGGTGTGGTTGTTGTGTTGGCGACAGCTTACACCTTAAACACTGGGTCATACAGCTCTTTAACTCAGGGTGTGGTTGTTGTGTTAGCGACAGCTTCTACACCTTAAACACTGGGTCATGCAGCTTTAACTCAGGGTGTGGTTGTTGTGTTAGCTGACAGCCTCACCTTAAACACTGGGTCATGCAGCTGTTAACTCAGGGTGTGGTTGTTGTGTTGGCGACAGCTTCTACACATAAACACTGGGCAGCTCGTTAACTCAGGGTGTGGTTGTTGTGTTAGCGACAGCTTCTACACCTTAAACACTGGGTCATACAGCTTGTTAACTCAGGGTGTGGTTGTTGTGTTGGCGACAGCTTCTACACCTTAAACACTGGGTCATACAGCTCGTTAACTCAGGGTGTGATTGTTGTGTTGGCGACAGCTTCTACACCTTAAACACTGGGTCATACAGCTTGTTAACTCAGGGTGTGGTTGTTGTGTTAGCGACAGCTTCTACACCTTAAACACTGGGTCATACAGCTCGTTAACTCAGGGTGTGATTGTTGTGTTGGCGACAGCTTCTACACCTTAAACACTGGGTCAAGGTAGCCGTTAACTCAGGGTGTGGTTGTTGTGTTAGCGACAGCTTTTACACCTAAACACTGGGTCAAGGCTACAGTTGTTAACTCAGGGTGTGGTTGTTTAAAAGTTGGCGACAGCTTCTACACCTTAAACACTGGTCATGCAGCTTCGTTAACTCAGGGTGTGGTTGTTGTGTTAAAGCGACAGCCCTACACCTTAAACACTGGTCATGCAGCCTGTTAACTCAGGGTGTGGTTATGTGTTAAGGACAGCTTACACCTTAAACACTGGGTCACGCAGCTCGTTAACTCAGGGTGTGGTTGTCGTGTTGGCGACAGCTTCTACACCTTAAACACTGGGTCATGCAGCCCGTTAACTCAGGGTGTGGCTGTTGTGTTAGCGACAGCTTCTACACCTTAAACACTGGGTCATGCAGCCCGTTAACTCAGGGTGTGGCTGTTGTGTTGGCGACAGCTTCTACACCTTAAACAAATTCATGCTGAGGTGGCCCTTGGGCTGGCCATTCTTGAACACGAGGAGCAACTATCTATCTATCTATCTACCTGCATATACCTTAACAGACTCACAGACCGCCACAGACCTACAATAGACCATTACCTACAGCTTCTATGACGACCACAGACCACAACAGACGACCACAGACCACAACAGACGACCACAACAGACCACAACAGACCACTAACTACAGTTTATATGAGCACCGTGAGAAGGAAACAAAATTGGTAATAAAGGTAGAATATTAAATGTGGTTTTATTATGAGAATGTTGTGTGTTTATATCGTGTGAATGTTCCCAAGAGGAGAGGTTGTGTGTCTTGTTCTGGTGTTAGAGGAGGGTGTTAACGAGGGGGAGAGGGGGAGGGGGAGAGGGGGAGCGAGGGAGAGGAGAAGGAGAGGGGATGAGAGAGAGAGAGTGGGGAGGCAGAGACAGAATGAGACAGGACGAAGACAGATAAATAGAGAGAGAGAGAAAGAGATACACACACACACACACACACACACACACACACACACACACACACACACACACACACACACACACACATACACAGTCAAGAGGGATTCGAACCAGTGTCAGCATTGAGAGAGGTGAGTATAATTGCCACCACACCACCACTTAACATACAAGTACACAACTGACGTACAGAATATTGGTCTGTCAGGGGCAAAGGGTGTCATGTAAAGTGTCAAGGAAGAGAGGTGTCATACGAGGTGTCATAAAGGGCTGGGTCAGGCCAATAAATGACAAAAAATACACCTTAATGCCATATAAATAAATAAATAAAGTGTCAGAAGGTGTCATGTGTCAAAGCATCGAGTGTCAAGTGTCATAGATGTTACTGCCAGGAAGCGGGGGGGTGCAATACTTCCTCCATCTTCAGGTAAGTGTCAAGAAGTGTCAGAATGCATGAGGTGTCATTCAGGAAGTGTCAGGTGTCAGGAAGTGTCGTGTAGGAATGTATGCCGTGGCAACCAGGAAGTGTCAAGTGTCAAGGGGTGTCATGTGAGGAGGTGACCATTACTCCCTGTCACCCTTGACACCAATTAGCCCGGGGTCACCTGTGTCCCCTCAGGTGTCATGACAACCACTGAGAGAGAGAGAGAGAGAGAGAGAGAGAGAGAGAGAGAAAGAGAGAGAGAGAGAGAGAGAGAGAGAGAGAGAGAGAGAGAGAGAGAGAGAGAGAGAGAGAGAGAGAGAGAGAGAGAGAGAGAGCTCAACATAAGACATACGGGAGAAAAACAAAGAGAAAGAGAGAACAAGGATAAGACAAAGACTACAAACAAAAAACAAACAGAAAAACAAACAAATAACAAGAACACCAAAACAATAATAAACTAAAACAACAAATGAAAACAAGAGACGACAAATTAACACAGAAACAAACAAACAAACAAATAAAATAATAAAATTCAAACATATAAATAAAAGTGAATAACTAAAAAAAACATGATAATGATAATAATAAAACAGGAGAAGATAAAGAGAAGGAAAAAACGAAAGGAAACATCAATAAAAAACAAGAAAAAAAGCGAATGACAGGAAGAGGACAGATGTGATGAGAGGCAAATTATACACGAGGAGAGTAGAGAGGAGGGGGAGGAGGAGAGGGGGAGGAGGGGAGGGGGAGGAGGGGAAGAAGGAGAGGAAGGGTGGAGAGAGGAGACAGGAAGGAGAGTAGGGGGAGGGGGAAGGTAGGGTGAGGAAGAGGAAGGAGGGGGAGGGATGATGGGGAGGAGGGGAAGGGTTAGAGGGGTGGGGTACTGGGGTAATATCCGCCAAATAACCGCCAAGAACCCGCCAATTTCCGCCAAATGACCGCCAAGTACCCGCCTCTCTACACCCGCCACACATTAGCCAAAACACGCCAGGTACCCGCTAATTCCCGCCAAATTACGCCACAATCTCACCTGTCTGCACCATCAGCGCCAATGGATGTCTAGTGGCTCGACAGACAGCCACTTACCCTCCCATGGCCACAACAGGCGGCCGCACTCCACTTGGCCGAGGCAGGCGGCCCTCGCCACTTAGCGGCAAGGCGGCCACACCCTCCCGCGCCAGCGACGGCACTCGGCCCAAGGCGGCCACACCTCCAGCCCAGCGACAGGCGGCACTTACCTCCATGGCCACAACGAGGCGGCCGCACCCTCCATGGCGACAGGCGGCCACTTACACACGACAGGCGACACCCACCCTCCATTAGCGACAGGCGGCCATTTAACCTTTCTTGGCCACATCACTAACTGCAATTTTCGGGATTAGCTCGCGCACGCGCGCTAAGGTGATGACAACACTATCCAGGTCATGTTCACACTGGGATAAAAACTGGAAGGTACCTCCTGGTAAAAAAATAAACTTGCTCATCCTTCTTCATCCTGGGGAAACATAAGTCTGGTGTTGACCGTCCTGGGATACAGGAAGGTGTAGTTGTGGGGTATGGGGTCACGCTAGATCACTGCAGGAAGAACACACCCTGTAGTACCACTATTGTCACTGGTACCTGGTACTGGCGTCTGGTAGCTGGTGCCTGGTACTGGTGTCTGGTACTGGTGTCTGGTAGAGGCTCTGGTTTGCAGCACCCCTCACAGCTCTATGGGGGAGCCCAACATTTTTACTGCCTCTTATACTGCCACAACCCCACAAGTGGCACCCGCCCTCTCAACTCCTTTCTCCTTTTCTCATTTCTTCCTTTTCTCTCTCCTTCCTTCTCCCTGTCTCCCCCTGTCCCGTCCTCCTAGCTTCTCAACTCCTCCTCCTTCCCTCTCCTTCTCTAGCTCTCCCTGCCTTCTATTTCTCTCTCTCTCCTAATCCTCACACACACACACACATCTTCTCACCCACCCTCTTTCCCCGTCCCCCCCTGCTGCCTGTGGTTGTACGTCTACGTCCGTCCACGTCTAACAGCTGATGTTAACCTGTGATTAAGGTGTTCTGGCCAGGTGAGGTGAAGGCAACAGGTGAACAGGTAATAGCTTCAACCCAGCCCCTCCCTACCCACATCCCCTCCTTCCCTTCCTTCTCACCTCCCTATCCTTCCCTCCCTCCTTCCTTTCCTTCCTTTTCTTTCTTTCCTCCCCCTAGCCTCCCTTCCTCCCTCCCTACCCTTCTCTCCCCCCTTGCCCCTCACCCTCCCCCTCCCCCTCCTTAGCTCCCATCCCATCAGACAGATTTTTTACAGATTGCCCGGAGAGCTAGTTTTATTGGGCACCCCTTACATCCTGTGCAAGGTGAAGCTCAAGCGTTTACAGCGCCCATCTGGGAAGCATGCGGAGTTCATGCTTGCCTTTATGACTCGTGCATTAAGGGCGTTGGGGAGCCTGAAGGTCATGGGTTTTGTCAACAAGTTACATAAAGTGACAGAATGATGAGTGTGTGTGTGTGTGGGGGAGAGTTACATCATTCATCTGTTTATAGCAAAGCGTGGCAGGTCCCCTAATAATGTGAAGTGATTAGGAGGAGGGATATCTGGTGAGGAGGGAAGAGGTGTTAGTAACGACTGCTGGGGACCTGTAGGGAGGAGGTCATAGGGGCAAGAGTGAGGATGTAGTGACGGAGGGTGTGAGAGTCGGTTAGCCACGAGTTTACAAACAGTGCGGCCAGGCTCAGTAGGAAGGAACATGTATCTAGAGATGCCCCCCTCCCACCCTCCATCCCTCTACACTCCCTCCCACACCTTCACATTCCCTCCCTCCCACACCCATCTCCTACACCCCCCTCCCACACCCACATCTCCTACTCTCCCTCCCACACCTCACATTCCCCACCTCCCTCCCACTGACATCTCCCTACACTCCTCCCATCCCCTCCTCCCACATGCCTCCCTCTACATCCCCTACCTCCCTCCCACACCCTCATTCCCCCTCCCTCCCACCCACACATCTCTACCTCACACCTACACCCCTCCAAGCCGCCCCTATTCGACCCCCATTCATCCACATATTTCTCCTGATATGTCCCCTACACAATCCACACAACCCTCATACCGCCCTCACACACGCACACACACACACACACACACACACACACACACACACACACACACACACTGGACAAAAAGCATTAAATGTACTTGCAGGAGGGCGTTTATCAGCTATTTTGACTGTAGGTTGTCTGCTATAAAGAGCATGAAGGTAGGGGTGATTGGATTGAGTAGTGGGGTGGTGGGGGGTGTGGTAGAGGTGGTGGGGTGAGATGGTAGGGGTGAGTGAGATGGTAGGGAGTTGATGGTGTGAGTGTGAGGTGGTGGGGAGTAGTGGTAGGGGTGGTGGTGTAGTGGTAGGGGTGGTGGGGGTAGTGGTAGGGGTGAGTGGGGGCTCAGTGGTAGGAGTTGAGTGAGATGGTGGGTAGGGAGTGATGAGTTAGGGTGTGGTGGGGTAAGGAATTAGTGGGTAGTGTGGTAGGGGTGGTGGGGTAGGGGTGGGGGGTGGTGGGGTAGGGGTGGTGGGTGGGTGAGAGTGGTGGGGGTGGTGGGGGGATTGGGGTAGGGGTGGTGGGGGGTGGTGGTAGGGGTGGTGGGGTGGGGGTGGGTGAGGGGGGTGGTGGTAGGGTTGTGGTGGGGAGGTGGTGGGTAGAGGTGGTGGGGTGGGGTGGGTGGGGTGGTGGTAGGGGGTGGTGGGGTGGTGGGGAGGGGTGGTGGGTGTGGTAGGGGTGGTGGGGTGGTGGTAGTGGGGTGGTGGGGGTGGGTGGTAGGGAGTGGTGGGGTGGGGAGGTGGGGTTGGTGGGGAGTGGGGGTAGGGGTGGTGGAGATAGGTGGTTGGGGTGGTGGGGTGGTGGTAGGTGGTGGGGTGGTGGTAGGGGTGGTGGGTGAGTGTGGTGGGGTGGTGGGTGGTGGGGTTGGTGGGTGAGTGGTAGGGGGTGGTGGGGTTTAGTGGTAGGGGTGGTGGGGTGAGTGGTAGGAGGTGTTGGGGTGAGTGGTAGGGGTGGTGGGAGTGGTGGTGGTAGGGGTGGTGGGGGTAGTGGTAGGTGGTGGGGGTGAGTGGTAGGGGTGGTGGGGTGGTGGTAGGGGTGGTGGGTGAGTGTGGTAGGGGTGGTGGGGTAGTGGTGGGGGTGGTGGGGTGGTGGTAGGGGTGGTGGGGTGAGTGGTAGGGGTGGTGGGGTGGTGGTGGGGGTGGTGGGGTGGTGGTGGGGGTGTTTGGGGTGTGGTAGGGGTGGTGGGGTGGTGGTAGGGTGGTGGGGTGGTGGTGGTAGGGGTGGTGGGGTGTGGTGGGGGGTGGTGGGGTGGTGGTGGGGTGGTGGGGGTGGGAGGTTGGGTGGGGTGGGGGTAGAAGGGGATGGGAGGTAGGGTGGGAGGGGATGGGGTGGTGTTAGAAGGGGGGAGGAGGAAGAAGGGGAGACGGAGGGAGGTTTGTAGGTTAGGTAAATGGACTCTCTCAGCACAGTAGGTGAAGTGATGAGGGCGTACACACACACAAACACACAGGGGAGTGGGGGGAGGGGGAGAGGGAGGGGTGTGAAGGGAAGGATGGGAGTGGAAGAGGGAAGGAGGGGGAATGGGAGGGGGAAGGAGAGGAAGGGAGTTTGGTGAGGAAATGGAGAGGGAGGGGGGAGGAGGGGAAGGGAAGGGGAGGTGGAGTAGTGAAGGGAAATGGAGTGAGTTGAATAGTATCAATAAGAGAAGCTGGCTGTTTGTACTTTCTCTCTTTCTTTGTCTCTTCTGCGACTAAAATTGTGTCTGTCTGTCTGTCTGTCTGTCTTACACACTAAGTATGCATTTACTAATTTGATACACGTACTCTCTCTCTCTCTCTCTCCCTCTCACACAGCAAGGCCATAACTTAACACAACACAGAGGCATGACTATAGCTGAGAACAGATGCCCCACCCCTCCTCATTAGCTGTCTTCTTCTTCCCCCTCACCTCTCCTCCTCCCTCTTTCCCCTTTCTCTCACATCTAAAGGTAGCTGCTTTCCTCTCTTTTATATGACCTCTGTTTCTCTTTTTCTCTTTCTTTTCTGTCTGTCTATCTCTCATCATTTGTCAGCACTGACAGGATATCTCATCTCAGGACTCTCTAAAGGTTTACAAGTTGAAAATGCTATGTAACTACCATTGGTGAGAACATGTCAACGCCACCACTTCATATCTACGACAGTGGCATCCATCCAGTCAAATCGGTGTGGAGGTGGTTCCGTGGCTGAGTTAAACGGTCCTACAGGTAAGCCGTTATTTCTATAGGTAAGCAAAATTTTGCTGATGACACTAAAATAGAGGGCGTATAATTAAATCCCCGACGAGGACTCCGCAAGGCACGGGGTGCAAAAATTTGCATAGTGCGAAAATGGCAGATGTGAAATTTGTGAGACCGATGTAAAGCAGTCTAGGAGATGTGATGAGCCAGATGCCAAGATGAACAACGTTATTTATAGAAATCCGACTGTAGAAAGATTTAGGGTAAGCGTGCGGAATCTTAAACCAAGACAACAATGTGTGTTTGTAAAACAAGGCGAACAAAGTACTTGGGTTCACACAGGCGGTGTTAGTTACGAGAGACTAGCGAGGTTATGCAAACTATATCTTGCGTGAACCTCACTGGATTAAGCAGTTCAAATTCTGGTGACCGTATTACGTGGATATAAGTCCTAGAAAGATTCAAGGATGTGACAAAACCAAATACGGGCATTAAAAACGGTACAGGGCAAGGTTTAAGCATCTTAGTTGCTCCCTCGAGGGCAGAGGTGAAGGGCGATATGACTGAAGGTTATAGTGGAAGTCAAGAGGCAAGCAAGGTGAGCCATAACAAAGGTACTCAAACTACAATATCAACAGGAGCGAACTCGTAACAATGGTTATAGAATTAGACAAATTTTGATCTAGGCGCGAAGATAGGTAAACACTGGTTTGAAACAGAGTAATTAGATGAGTGGAACAAGTTGCAAGCTTGTCATGTGCTGGAGACACGCTGGATAGCTTCAAACACTTGGGTGGGTGTGATAGGGGTTGGTGTGTAAACAGGACTGTCAGTAGGGGCTGTCGTTTTCTTCCCCTCCAGTCTTATGTTGTTATGTTCCCTCCCTAAACTCCCCCTTTCCATACTGCCACACACAAACCCTAAATTCTCCATAATGCTATCCCCCTCTGAAACCCTGCCTTGCGAACCTCCCCCTTGACTCTATCTTTCCTTTCCTAAAACTTAGCCTCCCTCCACCCCCTCCCAGGTGTGGGGGCCAACAAGAGGGGTCACCAGAGGGTACCTGGCCGTCC